CTTTTAATCCATAAGGATATTTCGAGATTTTTCATTTTTTCCGTTGGTTATAAGCTTAAAGCTACCTAAATTCTAAATGTGGAGTTTGTGAGACATCTAGAAGTAGCTTAGAATTTTGATGATCTGTCGGTGAGTCAATGTCGAAATTAAAGAAATTTGACAAGCGATAATTCATAAACTATGAGGGATAATCTATACTAATATATAATTACTAGATATTTTGGTCACCTAGCCAGCTGTAGTATGTCTTTAAGTGTAGTGAAAATTAATATTCTTGCTTTATCCACAATGAAATTACAGGGTGGTCAAAAGTGCCGCTATACCTTCGGGAAAAGTATGGTACGGCTGTGCTCGACTTGGCGGATATAATGAATTCAAATAATATTTTAATATACATATACAGGGTTGTTCACCACATACGACACGGAGTATTCTAGCTAAACGATGAGATTTTTACAAATTGTAAGTCTTGGATTCGATGAAGGACTATTAGAGGTACAATTTAAAAATAATTTTACAAAATACCGAGTGTCCCAAATAAGTAAAAAATATCAAAGTTGTATTTTTTTAAATGGAACACCCTGTATATTATTGCATTTTTAGTTTCTACGATTAAAATAAAGGTAAATTTGATTAAGGTTTATTATACTTAAACCTTACCGTTTTTGAAATATTTTCAATTTTGTGAAATTGCAGTAAAAACTTTAAGGCTTCATTCCTCCAAGGGTACCAAAGTTTTTAATACTAAATATTTACTGAAGTTTATTTATTGATCAGTTATTGTGTTGCAATAATAAAAATAATACTACCTTATACAGAGTGTCTAAAAATTTATTTTAAATAATTATTACCTTCAAACGGCAATAACTTGTTTAATTTAAATAGAACACCCTGTATATTTTACTAGAATCAGATGCATAATTTAATTGTCTATCAAATTATATTATACCATTTTTTACCTATCTCTTTAAGTTTCCGTAGAAAATGCATTTTCTTGTAATTTAGAACTTATTTATCAATATACCCATGGAATATTGACATTTTAGATTATTTTTAAAGATGTACCAAATTTTTAAAGAGTACAGATACTAATATTGTGGATATAATTCGTTTATTTCATTAAAAAATAAAAAAAAACTGTTTAAATATTTGTTAAAAAGGACTGGAGTCAGTCAGTTAATGTAGTTTGAATACTGGAATTAATATGATTCCAGTATTCAAACTACATTAACTGACTGCATTGATTAATAATAATTGTTCCAAATACTAAAAAAACTGAATTTTGTATGGGTATTAGACAGTGTGATAAAAAGTAACACCTTAAAAATGATATTTCATTTTTTAATAAATGCTTATTTATAACAACGGAGACTTTAATTTTGATAACTTATTATTATATTGATTTCTGACTCAAATCCACATTTATTTAGAATAATTTATTAACGAATACAATTAAGTATATATTTAATTAGTATATGGGCGGAAATAATGGTGCTATATTTAATTAATGGTATACTCTTTTATAAAGATTTAAATAGTTTTCTTTTTGCATACAACATTATTGTTTTTAGCAAAACGATAATATTACTAGAATGTCAATATATGATGTCAATATTCTATGGGTGTCAATAATAAAATGTCAATATTCCATGGGTATATTGATGAATGAGGTCTAAATTATTAGAAAATGCATTGCGATATTTTCGAAAAAGGTGCCCTGTGGCGTAGAGGTACAGGCTCTCGTCTACCAATCTCAAGGTAGTGGGTTCGATTCCCACCCACGGCATTATATCAGCTGACTATTTTTATTAAAATAAAAACAGTTTGGGTACCTAGGCCGACTCAGCCTTAAATGAGTACTTGGGATTCACAATCCTGAGGTAATAATAGGCGGTTGAAGCGTAGTGCTAGCCACATTACCATCCTTGTATACCGAACGGCTCTAGTATGCCAAGCTGTACCTTATTACTCCCAAGGCGTTAAACGCCTGTTAAACTGTCAAAATTTCTACGAAAACTTGAAGGGATAGGTAAAAATAGTATAATACAATTTGATAGACAATTAAATTGTGCATCTGATTCTCCTAAAATATACAGGGCGTTCCATTTAAATTAAACAAGTTATTGGCGTTTAAAGCTATAAATTATTTAAAATAAATTTTTAGACACTCTGTATAAGGTAGTATTATTTTTATTATTGCAACACAATAACTGATCAATAAATAAACTTCAGTAAATATTTAGTATTAAAAACTTTGATACCCTTGGAGAAATAAAGCCTTAAAATGTTTACTGCAATTTCACAAAATTGAAAATATTTCAAAAACGGCAAGGTTTAAGTGTAATAAACCTTAATCAAATTTACCTTTATTTTAATCGTAGAAACTAAAAATGTAATAATATACAGGTTGTTCCATTTAAAAAAATACAACTTTGATATTTTTACTTATTTGGGACACTCTGTATCTTGTAAATTATTTTTAAATTGTACCTCTAATAGTCCTTCATCGAACCCAAAACTTGAAATTTGTAAAAATTTAATCGTTTAGCTACAATACTCCGTGTCGTATGTGGTGAACAACCCTATATAACCCTTGATATAACAGAACGCCTTTTAGTAATGTAAAAGAAAATTGATTCTTATTCTCATACAAATAGTATCAATTATTAAGTTATGACACATGACTTTTAAACTAGTTTGTATTATTTTGTATCTCGTAAATTTTAACTTATTTAGGTAAACTACTAAAAACAACCACTGTTTTAAAGAAAATGTTATCGTCTATTTTATATGTTTTATTTATAACACGACACACAATGCTAACATAATCGTTAAACCAGTTTTAATGTTGCACTTGTGTAATCTTTACATTCCGCTACCTTAGCGAATTTATGTGAATTAATTTACATTACAAGTATTACCATTTATAATTATAAGTAGAAAAAAATATGTTTTAATTTATGACTATTTATTTATAGGAAACGATTCCCATGAAATAATACTATTTAATTTTATTCATATAATTCAGCATCCATAATTATAAATAATGTGTTGAAATTTCATTTTAAAGTTGAGAAAAAATCTTAAGAAAATAATACCCAGTATTCCTAAAAGTTCTTCTTACTTCCAAGTATTATTCCATTTCTTTATAGAAAATGAGAAAAACAGTACGCACATTTTAAAACTCTGTAGTTTCATATACGTGGTGCGTCTCAAAAGTGGCTCATCCCTATAATTTCTTTATTTTTTCAGAAAAAAAACGAGATTTGGTATGTGTGTCTAAAATTACTCGGTTATTTTAGACCTAGTATATGACACATGATTGAGATTAACGTATTCAATTGTTTTGATCACTTCCTGTTTCACCGGAAATGACTACAACTTTTGATTCTTAAATGGCACCCTCAATGGCACCCCTTTTTTTCTATTTCATTCCTTAGAAAATGATCTAAACAATCTGAGTAGAATGACATATCATATGTCAACTTTTGGCATTTTCTCATATAGTTTATTTGAAATTGTAACGTGCGGTTCCTAACGACAATTTGACTGTGCAACCAAGTGTGTGGTACCAAATTACTCGTAAAAAATGCCCTTTCTAAATATGCTAATGAGCCACCCTCGTTCCATTTGAAAAAATTGAGATATTATTAAAAATACGATTTGGGCATCTTTTAACCGGCCAGCATAAGACACGAAAAACATTAGACGATCAAATCTATTTTTCCAAGGCTCCTTGATTACAAATTAGTGTTTTTAGCACAGCCATGGCACTCTAGATTGAAATTTAAAATACTGTGTAAAATATAGCGAAACTATCAAAAGTTGATATATGATATGTCATTCTATTCAGGGTGTCATTTTCTACTGAATAAAATGGAAAAATACCGAGGGTGCCATTTAAAAATCAAAAGTTGTAGTCATCGCGAGTTGTAGTGAAAAATAATTTGAACTTTTTATTTGTATAGTGAAATTACATGTTTACAATTCGATGCTGAGGTAAAAAATCTAGAATTAAATATAAATAGTAGCAAAAACGTATAAAGAAATTTCAGGAATCTAAATCTAACTGATAAGAGAATTAAGGTATTTAGCGGTTTCTCGTTAAAATTGTTTGTGCTGTTGCCAGCTTGTGCTGAGAACAGGATATTTGGGGATTGATAAGAGCAAGGGACTTCCGATCCGTTGAGGAGAGTCTGTTCTTTTCGCAATCTCTATAATTAAAAGGAAAATAATATTGAGCAAAAACAAAAACAATCCGATATGAACGAAATAAAAGAAATGTTCGATTTTATTAGAGAAAATATGCAAGTAATGGATGGTAAACTATCCGATGTTATAAAGGAGCTGAGAGATACTAAGCTAGAAAATGCGGCGATGAAGACAGAAATTAAAGCTCAAGGAATGAAGATTGCCAATTTGGAAAGGGAGATTAGAAAGAAAAATCTGATTTTTAAAGGTATTATGGATGATGAAAAAGAGGACTTCGAACTAACCAAACACAAGACAATTAAAATTTGTGAATCCTTGGGAGTGCCTATTAAACCAGAATTTGATGTAGACCAGGTAAGAAGAATAGGCAAACAAATCCCAGGTAAACCGAGACCAGTATTACTACAACTGACAACTACAAATAAGAAATTCGAAATACTAGGAAAAACTAAAGGATTAAGAGGATCTAACATATGGATTGATGAGGATTACCCAAAGGAAATACAAGAAGAAAGAAAAATTCTGGTGTCCGAAATGAAAGAAGCATGGAAAAATGGCGAAAAAGCACAACTTAGATACAACAAACTAATTATAAACGATGAGGTATATGATGCAAGCAACATAATAAATAGGGAGTCAACTAGCCAATATAATAACGCCGACAAGAAGAGAAAACCCGATATGAGATCACCGGAAAATGATAAATTTGGCGAACAACTGAAAAAGATTACGCGAACTTCAAAAAACTAGAACTAACCAATGGATTACACGGAGCAGGATTATCGGACATGGAACTTGGCATTAAACGGACATTGAAAGGAAACTTAAATGGAAAAGGGCTAACATTTGGTACATGGAACATTCGGTCGATAAATGACAAAGAGGGCGAACTAATTAAAGAATTTGAAAACATTGACCTAGACATACTAGCTATAACTGAAACTAAAAAGAAAGGAAAACAAACAGTTGAATTACAAAATGGACATATAATGATTTTGAGTGGGGTCCAGAATGAGAAAAGGGCACAGGCCGGAGTTGGTTGTATTATAAAAAGTACCTTAGCTAAATTTGTAACTAAATGGGATACTATATCAGGAATATTCATTATGGTACAATTAAGGCTTGAAGACAAGAACACGATACACATATTAATACTGTATGGCCCAAATGAAGATGAAAAAGCTGAACTAAAATACAAGTTTTGGGATGAAGTTACGGAAGTTGTAGACAGTTTAAACGGAGATATTATTGTTCTGGGGGATCTAAATGGAAGGGTTGGTATTCAGGATTATGAAAGCGGCGATGACATAGGAAAAAATGGAGAGGCTATAAGAAATAACAACGGGACTAGAATTATAGAGTTCTGTATACAGAATTATTTATTAATCATGAACACCTTTTTCAGACACAAAGAAATCCATCAGTACACGAGAGAAGTTAAAAGTCGAAATGAAAAATCCATAATTGACTACGTATTAGTATGTAAACGATTAAGGCGATATATAAAAGACGTACGAGTTAAAAGAGGCCCCGAAATAAACAGCGATCACTACCTGGTCTTAGCAAAAACCGGCTAACTAGGCTTTCAAAAACCAGATCAAATAGAGAGACCACGGAGCAGCGTAACAAGAGAAGTAGTCAGGTCGTATAGATTGAACAACAGGAATACTGCCATGAGTTATAGGAAAAGAATACAAGAGCTAATTGAAACTCAACCAGTCAATGAGGAACAAAATCTAGAAATAATGTGGGAAAATTTTAAATTTATACAGGGAAAGAAATCTGTGGAACAACGAAAATTAACAAAAGCAAAAGACAAACCGCTTGGTGGAATGACGACATCAAACATGATATTAAAATGAAAAAAGCGGCATGGAAAAACTATTTATGTGGCAGAAACATGGATAAATATGAAGTATATAAGAAACATAGAGAAAGAGTGAAGCAACTTGTAATGTTATCAAAGAAAAAGTCATTGGAAGAATTCGGTCGAAAAATTGAACACGATTTCCACGCAAATAAAAAGCTATTTTACAAAGTCCTTAAAAATCTTCGATGCAATAACAAAGACCCACCGATGAAACAAATAAACGATAAGAATGGAATATTACTAATGAATGAAGAAGACATTATTAAGAGATGGAAACAATATTTTGAGGATCTTTTTGAAGGGCAGAGTGATCAGGAAAATTTAGTCGTGGAAAGTAGGGCCACATCTCAAGAGGAAGATATGATAGAGTTAGAGGACGTCCATTGCACCATACAGAAACTTAAAAAAGGAAAGGCGGCGGGACATGACGGCATCACCGCAGAAATGCTGAAAAACATGGGAGAAAAGGGAGAAGAAATACTAACAAAGATTTGTACTTTAGCGTGGAAAGAAGGAAAAATCCCAAATGATTGGAAAATAGGGGTCATCGTACCAATCTTTAAAAAGGGTAATAAAAGGGATTGTAATAATTATCGAGGAATCACACTTCTTAGCATTGCCTCTAAAGTTTATGAGCGAATACTGGAAGCAAAACTCGTAAATCAAATTGACAACTAACTTGAGGAATCGCAGAGTGGATTTAGGAAGGGCCGTAGTATACACGGTCATATATTTATAATTAAACAAATAACGGAAAAAATTAGAAATACAAATGTCCAAGTTTACCAAGCCTTTCTTGATCTTGAAAAAGCCTTTGACAGACTTCCAAGATCTGAAGTTCAGAAAACCCTAATAAATAAAAACATTGACCAAAACTTAAGAAGAGCAATAATGAGTTTTTATTCCGACACTAGAAGCTATGTAAGGACCGATAATATGCATTCAAAAGAGTTTTCAATTCGTGAAGGTGTTCGACAGGGAGGTGTCCTAAGCCCAATTTTATTCAATTTAGTTATGGATGATGTAACGAAAGAAACCAGACGAAAGGCATCTAAACTTCTTGTAGGGTACCAAAATATGCAGCCTGTGTGGATCAATGAATGCGCTTTCGCTGACGACATCGTTATATTTGCTAGGAACGAAACGGAACTTAAAAGAAATCTCAATACATGGAACAACAAATTATCTTCCAAAAACCTTAAAATAAATGAGAACAAAACAAAAATAATGATTAGCGGAAAGAGTGAAGAAATGGTTAACATAGAAATAAATGATCAAATAATAGAGCAGGTAAATTCTTTCAAATATCTGGGAGTCCAAATAGAAAGCCAGGGACATCAAAACCAAGAGTCCAAAGCGCTGCAAATCTATACCATAGCATAAAGAACACATTTCTAGGTAAAAAAGAGGTATCATTGAAGACCAAAATCAGCGTGTTTAATTCAGTATTCGTACCAATATTAACATTCGGTAGTGAGAGTTGGGTTCTCACCAAGAGACAAGAAAGCTTAATACAAGCAGTAGAAATGAAATACCTACGAAAAGTGCTAGGGGTTACGAGGATGAATAAACTACGTAATTCCCATATTAGCACTAGCGCTATTATGAAAGTCATAATGACATCCAAATGACAGTATTAAATGTGTCATAATGACATTGTCGTAGATTAAAGTATTAATAAAATAGATACTAATAAAATAAAATAGTCCCAGAACATCGGAATTATAAAATAACTCTTTTTTTTTGCTTGTTGGGAACTAACAAAATTAATTATTGTATACCTCGTAACTGCAAAACTAATATCTCAATGATCTTATTATTCTCTTCTCGGCTCAGGGAAAGTTATTTTGCAACACATCGACCGTTTGCCTTGGCGTTGTTTTTCAAAGTTGAGTTGCGATTTAAACTTTACATCAATCTCTAATATTTCCATTTGCATAAACGGAAAATGAGTCACGAATTGTGCAGCAATAACTGGGTCAATAATTTCACACAATGTTTTTCCAATTCTATTGATAAAAAACATTGCAATAATGATAAGAATTATTCAGATAATAGAAGGAATTTCATAAAATATCCGGCATAATTGCTGTGCTTGAATGACATAATTTTTCACACAAATAGATTATATCTAACCTTGTAAAATTTTAATATTTAGATAATTTAATTCAATAATTCAAAATTATTGGTAATGGTAAACAACTTTTTAGAAAATTTTACTTAAAACTGATAAAAACCTATTCAAAATCAAGTTTTAACCACTTCCAAGCAGTTATATTTACAAAGGTAAACACAAATGTTTGGATTTTTTGTGTGCTCTAAACACATGTTACATTAACCTGGGTACCAAGGCACGAGGGTAACAAGGGTAACAAAAAGGCAGATGAAAAGGCCAAACAAGGCTCATTAATACCACTCATTGTGTCAAATAGGAAGAATTCATGTGTAGAAAAATGTACATCCTGTTAGTCCAAGAAATTCCTAAGGCCTATGCCTTCAAACGCGTAGTTTTGGTAAAAACTTGAATTTTTTATATGTTACTTTGAAAGATCGAAAACCGAACTGTAAAATATTTTTTAAATTCACCCCCGAAAAGGGGTTGAAGGGGTGAAAAAGGCTGAACTTTCGTTTAGCTGAAATCTGTTAGCTGAAAAAATGACTTTATATATGCGTTCTAGAAGGCGTTAGGAGTACAAATATACAAAAATTTTCCTGCGGTAATGCGTCATTTTAATTTTTCGGACTTTAGTATAGCCGAAATCTGTTACATCAAAACTAGTCTTCGGGGTGTGTTTTAGACATTTTTCTAAACATAAAAACACAAAAGAGTGTCTGCGGAACTTTTTTATTTTTATTTTACATAAAAAAATGCTTTGACTTAAGAATAACCGAAATCAGTTACATGAAAAATGAACTTATATTTGTTTTATACGAGCCTTTACGAGCAAAGAAATACCAAAAAATCCCTGCGGAAATGTGTCAATGTCATTTTGTGCACTTTGTTTTTCATACATTTTTCAGTTTAGAAGCTTACGGGATCCGGGAGCGAAGAGGGGTGCTGGGTGGGGTAAAACATCTTTCGGAGGAATAACAATTCTTGTAGAATAGATAATATAGGTTCTTGTAAACTATAAGTACCTCGGAATGTTGCACTTATTCTTGTTTTTTATTGAAGCTTTACGTAAATAGGGCTGATTCAAAGCGAAAAATCATTGGATCATGCAGTTTTTCTTTTATATTTTAATAATTAACTGTGATTTTGCAAAAATATTAGATTGGTTAGCATTTGGGTTGCTTTGGTTAGCTTTTCTTTGTGGAGGGTGTTAAGCTGTGGTTTTTATATTTTAATAATTAACTGTGATTTTGCAAAAATATTATTAGATTGGTTAGAATTTGGGTTGCTTCGGTTAGCTTTTCTTTGTGGAGGGTGTTAAGCTGTGGTTTTTATATTTTAATAATTAACTGTGATTTTGCAAAAATATTATTAGACTGGTTAGAATTTGGGTTGCTTCGGTTAGCTTTTCTTTGTGGAGGGTGTTAAGCTGTGGTTTTTATATTTTAATAATTAACTGTGATTTTGCAAAAATATTATTAGATTGGTTAGAATTTGGGTTGCTTCGGTAAGCTTTTCTTTGTGGAGGGTGTTAAGCTGTGGTTTTTATATTTTAATAATTAACTGTGATTTTGCAAAAATATTATTAGATTGGTTAAAATTTGGGTTGCTTCGGTTAGCTTTTCTTTATGGAGGGTGTTAAGCTGTGGTTTTTATATTTTAATAATTAACTGTGATTTTGCAAAAATATTATTAGATTGGTTAGAATTTGGGTTGCTTCGGTTAGCTTTTCTTTGTGGAGGGTGTTAAGCTGTGGTTTTTATATTTTAATAATTAACTGTGATTTTGCAAAAATATTATTAGATTGGTTAGAATTTGGGTTGCTTCGGTTAGCTTTTCTTTGTGGAGGGTGTTAAGCTGTGGTTTTTATATTTTAATAATTAACTGTGATTTTGTAAAAGTATTATTAGATTTATTATTAGATTGGTTAGCATTTTAGACACTTTTAAATTATTTTTTTGATTCAAAAGTGCTTCATCCAAGAATTTTTTTCTTTTAAACTGTTCTATACGCATAGGACTTTCTGTCAAAAAAAATGTTAAATTCGTAGGTACTTATACTTTACAAGATCCGGTAATATAATAAGGAATAAATGGAAAATGAAAATCAAGCATTTCCGCAGGAAATTTTTTATTTTCCTGAGTCTGTAAATGCTTCTAAAAGGCAAAAATATATTTATTTTATATATAACTGATTTCAGCTGTTCTAAAGTCTATTAAATTTCCTCAGAAAATGGATACAGTTTATTTCCGCAGGAAAATTTTTATTTTCCTCAATTCGTGAATGCTTCTAAAAGGCAAAAATATATTTATTTTTTATATAACTGATTTCAGCTATTCTAAAGTCTAATAAATTTCCTTAGAAAATGAAAACAGGTTATTTCCACAGGAAAATTTTTGTGTTTATATGTTCAAAAAAATATTAAAAATAAAACGCAAAATGTATTTTTTTATAGCAGATTTCAGTTATTCTAAAGTGCGAAATTTAGAAATTACGCATTTCCGCAGGAAAATTTGTTTTCCGTGGTTCACAGTAGCTTTTTAAAGACAATTTTATTTTTCTAATAACTGATTTCAGCTAAACAAAAGTTGACCCGTCAAAAATATATATAAAAGTTAAAAAAATATATTTTTCCAAATTTCAGAGAAGCGGTAAGGACTTTGAAAAAATTGTTTCAATAAAAGCTGTGCCTTAGCTTCTAGCCACTCTATCTCGGTTAATTTTTATTTGAGCAAAAAAAGTATAGAGACCATTCTTATCTGAAATCTGACGTTCTACAACTTTTATTTGGATTTTTTTTTCTAATCCTTCCGTTTCTCCGAAGTTTCGAAAAAATCACTTTATTTATTTCACCCCTTCTCTCTTTTCATTTTTTAATCTTTCAAAGTAACTTATATAAAAAATTCAAGTTTTTACCAAAACTTCGTATTTGAAGACCTCTTTTCTTGGACTATATTTTGGAATTTAAAAATTATGATGACAGAATTGCGGTACCAGTATTAAAACTGTAAGTAACCTAAGCGGTACTATCTAAAAAGAGACCATTTAGCTTTCAAACAGTTACTCTCATCAGACGTAAAAGTGACAAGTAAATTACAAGAAGTAATAACTTTAATACGGTATACGGTATAGTTCAAATACCAGCCATTCTAAACTATAGAGAAACAATTCAAATTTTCTTACAAAACAAATTACTTTGTTCGCGTTATATTACTTTGTTCGCGTCTTTTATGATATTCAAATTACCTAATAACCGTTAATACGGGACAATTTAGGATCATTTAGTATAATTTTGAAAGAAACAATAACCTATGGAAATAATTTGAATAAAAGTAGCAGAAAAACGATTTACTTTCATAATGATGACAATTTTCATATGGAAATTAAGAGTCAGTTGATTAGGTATCTTTAGCAACTATAGTTCATACCAGTTAAACTTTTAGTCACGTGATTAAGCTTGACCGGCGCAGCGTTGCCCACTTTTACATATTTTCTTTTAATCAAAATATTTTCTTCTTCTTATCACGCCCTCTCCTGTCGAAGGTTTGCGATCCAAATGGCAATTGTGGCTCTGGAAACTGCAGCCCGGAAGATTTCCGCAGACGAGCGATCAAACCATCTCCTCAAATCTTTTAGCCATGAGTTCTGGCGTCTTCCACTGATCTTTTCCCTTGCACTTTGCCCTCTATTATGAGGCGCAGTATTTCGTATCTACTGGAGTACTTCATCGTTGGTGATCCTCTGTACCCATGAGATTCGCAGCATCCATCTGTATACATACATTTCAAAGGCTTCTATTCTCTTTTTGGTCTGTGAATCCAGTGTCCAGCTCTCATATCCATAGAGTAATACAGAGAAGACGTAACATCTGGCCATTCGAGTTCTGAGTTCCGCACTGAGGTCTCGTCTTGTAAAAAACGATTTCATTCTCACGAAGATTTTTCTCGCTTGCTCAATTCTTGAAAATATTTCTCTTTTCGGGTCGCACTGACTATTGATGTTAGCTCCTAAATACTTTATTGAGGTCACTTGTTCGATTGTTTGTCCCTTGACCCGCAGGTGTGCATTTATTGGAGTCTTAGAAAAGACCAATAGTTTGGTCTTGGAGACATTGAGATGCAATCCAAACATCTCACTATAGTGGACTACGGAATCTATAACGCTTTGCAGTTCTTGTATATCATTGGCTATTATAACCGTATCATTGGCATATCTGATATTGTTTATTGGGATTCCATTGAACTTGATTCCGCCCTGGATTCGATCTAGTGCTTCTCTAAATATAGTCTCCGAGTACAGGTTAAACAGGAGCGGAGACAAGACGCAACCCTGCCGAACACCCCGTCTGATTTGTATATCTTCCGATGTTGACTGCTTCATCTCAACTACCGCCGTTTGATGCCAATAAAGTTCTGATATGAAACGTAGATCTTGTTCGTCAACTCCGGTTGTTCTTAGAATTTTGATCATCTTCTGATGATTAACACAGTCGAACGCCTTACGATAGTCTATGAAGCATGCAAATACATTCACATTCATGTTTCTACACCTCTGTGTCCTTACATTTAGGGAGAAGAGTACTTCACGCGTTCCGAGTCCGTTTCTGAAGCTAAACTGGGTGTTGTCCAACTGATTTTCGCACTTCTTGTAGATTCGCGTGTGGATGATCCTAAGAAAGGTTTTGGGGACATGGGACATAAGGCTTATCATCCGATAGTCATCACATTGTGAGGCGTTGGGTTTCTTTGGCAGGGTTACGAATGTTGATTTAAGCCAATCTGACGGTATTTTGCTTGAGCTATATAATTTGTTAAATAATGCTGTTACCAAATCTAGACTTCTGCTTTCGTTATCTGCAATGAGTTTAAGTATTTCAACGTTTATTTTATCGGGGCCGGTAGCCTTCCCGCTTTTCTGCGCTTTTATTGAATGAACAACTTCGTCTTTGGTTATTGCTGAAGCCTTTTCATTCAGTATGTGATCTATCGGTGGTGGGGAACAAGGTCTGTCATCATTAAAATGTGTTTCGATATATTCTTTCCATCTCGCAAGCTTAGCCTTTGAAGGAGAAAAACATCAACAAAATATTTTAGGAAACAAAAATAAATTAATTAAAAATATATAAACAATTATTATTTACATCAACAAAACTCACCTCCTTAACAGCACTTAATCAAAATAGAAGGCCATTGCTACCGCTTTCCCGTTCAAAATATTCCAATAAGGTTGCGATGAGTTTTTTGCATTGGCTATTAAGCTATCTTGTACACTTCGCACTAAAAGAGGTTCTAAAAAGAACAATGTTCGACTGTAAGTTCTGCTAATAAAAATTTTTAGTATCACAACACAATTGATTTAAACCAAAAGCTCGTAATACAAAACTAAAGTGTCAAAACGAATGACAATGTCAGGAAATAAATACATAAATGTGACAACTTGACATTTTTTACAGCAGAGCTACCACCTGAATCCCCAGCGGGACATTTAAATTCCAGTTAGTCAGCCCAGCGCCGAATATGTCCATGGTTGGCAACAATAAATTTAAAAATCGCGCACTCGATTACGTAACTAAAAGTTTAATTGGTATCACTTATATATTTATTTTATAGAGGTTGGAAATAGAAGGCTTGTATTTGTATTTACTAAGAGTGGTCCAGGTGGGACCCTCCACTGCGGCTAAAAATGGAGGGGTTGCCTGAATTATATTTGCTTGTAAAATATAAAATTTGCCGTTTGTCTAACTTCTGTATCAGTGCAAAAAATATTTACAAAAAATGAATCTGATGGGCTAATAAAATATAATAAAAACACAAAAATCTATTAACTCTTTGAGGGGCACCGGTATAAAAATAGTACCCGGAAAATATATGTATTAGTGGGGCACCGGTCTAAAAAATGTACCACCCCTTCAAACATTTTTAGCTAGTTGTGCAATGGAGCATTTTCTCGACCAACGTAATATTGGTCGCACTCTGACGGCTGTTTGTTGATTTAAACTGTTGCACGTGGCAGTTTCGGTTCTGCGATCAGTTTTATTGATAAAATCATAGCGTTAAGGTGGTTGCAAGTGAAAGTCTGCTGAATATACAGAAAAGAAAGTGAAATATAATAAAATATAGGTGCCTTTCCTGTAATAATAATATATTTGATATTTATAACAATAATATTATTTTGGTACAAGAAAAAAATATTTTTTTTTGTTTTATTTTGGTAGTTTGTTGTGGTACTATAAGTGTACCGTTGCACGCTTAGGCAAATATTCTATCCTGATTATGCCACATTATTTTTTAGATATTCAAGATATGGATTCGTTACCATTTAAGCTAAAAGGTTGGAGTTATGATGACCTGCAAGATGAATTGAATAATATATATAACGACGCGGAGCCAATACCTTCCGAGCCGGAGTCTGTATTTAGTGAGTCGGAAGATGAAGATGACCAAATACTGTTGGACCAAACTACACCTGCTTTGAATTTTACTGATTCTGATACTGATCCAGAAGATAACGTGCCATTATCTATTTTAGCAACTAATCTGCTTCCTGTACCACCCGTAAACTCTAACGACTGGTCTAAGCTTGTTGAACCAGTACCCCCCTCAAACTTTACGTCAGAGTCCGGAATTAAACCTGTTGTGAGAGAAATGGTTGATCCTACTCCGTACAAACTTTTCAAGTTATTTTTTAATGATGGTCTGCTTGACCACATAGTATTCCAGACAAATTTGTACGCACAGCAGTCTTTCAGCAAACAAAAACTTACCGAAATCTCAGAAATAAAAACCTTTCTAGGCATAAATTTATTAATGGGAATTAAACGATTACCGAGCTATAGGGACTACTGGAGTACTTCTCCTGATATAAATGATGCTTACATAAGTGGGTTGATGCCTGTGAAGCGCTTTAGTTGGCTCCTTTCGAACTTCCATCTCAATAATAACGTGCTAATGCCTAAAAAGCCCACTACGATAAATTGTACAAAGTGCGACCATTATTGATTGCGTTAGCTGAGAATTTTGAAAGGTGTATGGCTCTGAGTAGGGAACTTGTAATAGACGAGTCAATGATAAAATTCAAAGGGAGAAGCTCGCTCAAACAGTACATGCCCAGAAAACCTATTAAACGAGGATACAAGGTATGGATTTTAGCGAATAAAAATGGCTACTGTCAAAAATTTGATATATATACCGGTAAAGCGGAGGACGCCGAAAAACAATTAGGTGCCAGAGTTATTAAACAAATGCTCAATGGATTGGAAAATAAAGAGCACATTGTCTATTTCGACAACTTCTTCAATAGTACCGAACTTTTGGAAGACCTGAAGAAAAAACTAATTCATGCCTGTGGTACCGTAAATCCATCGAGAAAAACTTTGCCGGTGTTTAAACCGGATCGAAAATTTGAAGTTTTTAGCAATCCATCAAGAATTGTAGCTTTTAAATGGAGAGATAAGCTTAGCGTCTATTTACTGTCAAATTTTCATTCTCCTTTTGGAACCACTGAGGTCAATAGGAAAGAAAAGAATGGTACTACAACCAAAGTTCGTTGTCCGCAAGCGCTGTCAGATTATAACGCCATCATGAATTTTGTTGATAAATTTGATCAAAATCTGAATTTGTACAAAATAAACAGGAAATCAAAAAAATGTTGGCACAGGATATTCTTATACTTTCTCGATGCAGCAGTAGTAAACGCTTTCGTTTTATATAAAGAACTTCATTCGCCAAAAATATCCATGAAAGAGTTTAGAAGAAGCGTATCACAAGGACTAGTTGCAGACCTGGTTATAAAAAACAAAAGGAAAGCTTATAGCTATGGAGAAACAGTTGCTAAAAAACAGTTTAAGCCATTCATTCCCCTAGAAATTAGGCACAACCAAAGTTCCCATCAACCGGAAAGAGATTCTCGGCGGCGATGTGCAAAATGCAGTACATCAAAACAGCAAGTTCGTACCAACTGGATATGTTCGGTTTGTCGAGTTCCTCACTGTCTGGGGGCAAACAAGACATGCTTCCAGGACTTCCACACTTTCGAGTAAAATTATACTGGGGCAATGGTACTGTATATGTACCACGTAATGACGTCATTATTTATATATAAAAAATTGTTTTTCATAGTTTTAGAGTTTATTTTGAATATTTGTTCTTAGTTCTGTTAAATATTTTTATTAAAAAGTAATGAAAAAATTCATGCCCCTCTAGCACTTTTATTTACTGACAAATGTTGCCCTTCAAAGAGTTAAGAATCAATTGAGAGGCAATGCTCAATTAAGACGTTAAAAGCCGAATAGGGTCGGATTATCTCGTAAAAAAATCTTTATAGAATTGTTTTTATTTCAAGGCTTTGAACATTAAAATGACATTTAATATTCACATAGTTATATATTTATCAAACAACTCAAAACATATTTTCAGCTTGAAGAAACATTATTATAAACTAGTTAGGTTCTGAGTAGTGTATATTATACTCAATTATAGTTTATTACGTTGTGTTGTGATAACATTCAAAAACAAATAAGTCAAATTACTATTAACAATGAAAATATTACACGTATTTATTTTAGAAATGTGTACTATTTTTATTTTATAAAACTATATTTTAATCCTTAGATATATCAAATGGTTGGCTCAATAATACATAGGTTGCCTTTTAAGTTTTTACATAAATTGAAACAGAAACGAACAAGTTAGAAACAACGAAGTGTTTTCTTGCTTTTCGAAATATTGGCCCTTAAGGTCTATATATTTTTGCATACGCTCAAACCAATTCTGGAAATATTTTTTCCACTATGAAGCTGATATCGTAGAAACATTTGAAAGTCTTCAACAGCTTCTTGAGATGATGAAAATCGCTGTCCGCGCATTTTTTGTTTAACAGTGGGATACAAGAATAAGTCATTGGGCAATAAATCGAGTGAATACGGGCAATGAGACATTAATTTCATATTTTTCTAATTCAAATATTCAGTTGTTTGACGCACTTTAAGGGAGCTGGTATTGTAGTGATGAAGAATGATGCCACGTTTTTTGTTATATTTCCCTATTTCATCGAAGATCGTTGGCAAACAAATTGTTGTATACCATTCGGCATTAACAGTTCTTCCATCCTCTAATAGAATGGTTCCGATGATTGTAAAAACTTAAAAGGCAACCTACATACAGAAAATCTCCAGTTATGCTCATGTATTTTCCAAAATTTTCAAGACATGGAAAATAAAGTATCGGATCATTATTATATCAAACTGTGTTAATGAAATAACATTATTTTATATATAAACTATATGTAGTCTATGTAGAGGGTGTTTTAAAACCTAGGGTGATCATTGGTATAGTCTGTAAAACGAATAACTTTGAATTTGACAGTTCCCGCGGGCTTTTCTAGTGTTAATTTTATTAGGTTATCAACTTGCGGCCATGCTGACGCAATGCCGTCTCTAATAGAACAGCCTCAGAGCGAGATTTATGACGTCACGCTAGTTAGATACTACGGATTAATAAATATGTTGTAGAATACATGGAAAACATAATTATTCCTCGCATTTTTGGTTTGTATTTTAAAGATGATATAGTTTACATGAAATATACATAATATACAGATAATAACTACAATATATATACCTATTTATAGTAATAAATATTTTGACAGATAAACTATAAACCATACAAATGCAGCAAATGTTTTACAATATGGCTGAAATCGTACTCCATAGTCAATGTAGATAGTTTTGTGGTAAGAATAATAATTTAAAAAAAATATGTGGTCATCTTTTGACAAGTTTATATTAGTTTATTAATTGCAGTAAACATTATAATATATAAATAAATTTTGTGATTGCAAATAATAATACACTATTAGTAGATATTGAATGTTTTTTGTTAAATTAGATCGATTTTCAAACCCCAAAATTTAAAATATATTTTACATTTTACCCATTATCTTATGCACCAACTATTCATTATTTGGATATTGTAAAACATTTGCTGTATATTATGTATATTTCATGTAAACTATATCATTTTTAAAATTCAAACCAAAAATACGAGGAATAATTATGTTTTCCATGTATTCTACAACATATTTATTAATCCGTAGTATCTAACTAGCGTGACGTCATAAATCTCGCTCCGTGACTGTTCTATTAGAGACGGCATTGGTCTAATATTTAGAAATGTCAAAAGCTGATGACATTTTACTTTTGTCAATTATGACATTTCGTGTTGATTTTTGCAAGAAGAGGAAGAACTGTCACTTGTTTTATTATTTTCCTTTTCTATATCACGAAAGTAAAAAGAGTTACCTATCTGATTCGTTCAGGCACTCAATTTAAAGAATATCAGTAACTTTTTTGACAGAGGGATTTTATATTTGCCATGTTGGTAAAAAATAACGGTCAAAATTCAAAGTTATTCATTTTATAGACTATATCTCGCAAACGATAAGAGAACGAAGAAGGTACAATTATGACAGAGTTTCACAATTTTATATCGACGACAGTCAGATTTTAAAAAGGGTAAAAATACCAAAAATCTGTATTCTTCAGCACACATATACCGGGGGCGTCTCGAAAGTCACCCACCCCTATAGCTTTTTTAACTTTTTAGATAAAAAAACGAAATTTGGTATGTTAGTATAGGACATAGATTGGATTATAATATTAATAGGATTGATTGAAGTCATTTTGATTGATTTTGGTCATTTCCTGTTTCACCGGAAATGGCTACAACTTTTGATTTTCAAATGGCCCCTCGGTAAATTTATTCTTTATTCGATAGAAAATGACACTCTGAAGAGAATGACATACCTATCATATGTCAACTTTTGACATTTTTGTTTAGAAAAAAAAATGGTATTTTAAATTTCTATCTAGAGTTTCATGGCTGCATTAAAAACACTAATTTTTAATCAATGAGCCTTGGAAAAATAGTTATGATCGTCTAATATTTTTCGTGCCTTGTCCTGACCGTTTAAAAGATGCCCAAATCGTATTTTTAATAATATCTCAATTTTTTCAAATGGAACAAGGGTGGCTCATTAGCATATTTGGAAAAAGCATTTTTTTTTAAATAATTTGGTACCACACACTTGGTATTTCGAGTCAAATTGTCGTTATGAACCGCATGTTACAATTTCAAATAAATCATATGCGAAAATATCAAGAGTTGACATATGATATGTCATTCTGTTCAGAGAGTAATTTTCTGTAGAATAAAGTAGAAATATACCGAGGGTGCCATTTAAAAATCAAAAGTTTTAGTCATTTCCGGTTAAACAGTAAGTGACCAAAAACAACTGAATACGTCAATCAATCCTAATTTATGTTTTTTTATCTAAAAAATTAAAAAAGTTATAGGAGTGAGCCACTTTTGAGACACACCTGGTAGGTTTCTTTGGATGTAGTAGACAATGATCCAGTATTGAAACTAAAAGAACTTCGGATTTACATTGTCTTTATTTATTTTAACTTACACAATGATAACGGTCAGTAATACATCTGGCCGAAACGTTGTGTAAGTAAAAATAAATAAAGAAAATGGAATCATTTAATTTCAACACATAGAAGTATTACGCATACTTTATGATTGATTTTAAATTTTTCAATTAATATCCCGAATTTATAAAATTTTCATTTTTGTTTAAAATGAGCATTTTCTATTTTTTCAGTTTCTAAATTGTTTCATTTTTCTTACAGAATGAAATAAAATTTGCCCTTAGTGGAGAATGACTGAATAGGATCCACAATGACTATAACATCTTTAAATATCAGTGATGGTACTGTGAAAAGGAAAAGATTGTAAGTACCTATTTATAAACGATTTCTAATATAAATTAATACATTACTGTGAAGTAATAATAATCGAACATGGAAATAATATAAATCTAATAACTATCCTCAGATATTTATTTCTATTTTATGTTGTTTATATTATGTTGTAAATGTATTATATACTATTTAAACTTATTATACTATTAACTAAAAATTAGAAAAATAATTTATAACTCCTTGTTTTTCCTTTATTGTATATAGTAATCTATGACAACGTGTTTTAGTTTCTAGATGTATAGTCTATAAAATGAATAACTTTGAATTTTGACCGTTATTTTTTACCAACATGGTAAATATAAAATTCCTCCGTCAAAAAAGTTACTGATATTCTTTAAATTGAGTGCCTGAACGAATCAGATAGGTAACTCTTTTTACTTTCGTAATATAGAAAAGGAAAATAATAAAACAAGTGACAGTTCTTCCTCTTCTTACAAAATCAACACAATTGTCAAAAAGTAAAATGTCATCAGCTTTTGACATTTCTAAATATCAGACCAACGTCGTCTCTAATAGGACAGCCACGGAGCGGATTTATGACGTCACGCTAGTTAGATACTACGGATTAATAAATATGTTGTAGAATACATGGAAAACATAATAATTCCTGGTATTTTTGGTTTGTATTTTAAAAATGATATAGTTTACATGAAATATACATAATATACAGTTAATAAATACAATATATATACCTATTTATAGTAATAAATAACTTTGGCAAATAAATTATGAACCATACAAATGCAGCAAATGTTTTACAATATACAAATAATGAATTGATACATCAGATAATGGGTAAAATGTAAAATATATTTTAAATTTTGGGGTTTGAAAATCGATCTAATTTAACAAAAAACATTCAATATCTACTAATAGTGATGTATTATTATTTGCATTCACAAAATGTATATGTATATTTTGCAAGTATCAATGTTCGAAAAATTATATTTGCAAATAATACAATATCATAGAAAAAAAAGGCTGCAGCGATTGCTATGAAATAAAGATCGCTGTCATTTTATATGTAAAATTATTCTAAAATTTTTTATTTTCTTGGGATTTAGGTTCGGGAAAAACGCTGATTAAGTTTTCATTTGTTTTTCATTATTTTTTTTTTTGTTAAAAAAACGTTTCGGCTAACATCATAGCCTTCATCAGTGTTGTGTCATATGAAAAAATAGTGTCGAATATAATCCAAAAATTACATATAAAATATTCACACCACATAATGTTTACTGCAATTAATAAACTAATATAAACTTGTCAAAGATGACCACGTATTTTTTTAAATTATTATTCTTAACACTAAAACTATCTACATTGACTATGGAATACGATTTCAGCCATAGTAAGTAGTAGATATTGAATGTTGTTTGTTAAATTAGATCGATTTTCAAACACCAAAATTTAAAATATATTTTACATTTTACCCATTATCTTATGTATCTATTCATTATTTGTATTTTCTAAAACATTTGCTGCATTTGTATGGTTCATAGTTTATTTGGTTTATTTGCGAAAGTTATTTATTACTATAAATAGGTATATATATATATATATATATATATATATATATGTATTTATTAACTGTATATTATGTATATTTCATGTAAACTATATCATATATATATATGTATTTATATATATATGTATATATATTGTATATTTCATGTAAACTATATTTTTAAAATACAAACCAAAAATACGAGGAATTATTATGTTTTCCATGTATTCTACAACATATTTATTAATCCGTAGTATTTAACTAGCGTGACGTCATAAATCTCGCTTCGAGGCTGTTCTATTAGAGACGGCATTGCTTCAGAATGGCCGCAAGTTGCTAACCTAATAAAATTAACACTATAAAAGCCCGCGGGAACTGTCAAATTCAAAGTTATTCGTTTCACAGACTATAGTTCCAGTTTTTAGGGTTCCGTACCCAAAGGGTAAAAACAGGAACCCTATTATCAAGACTTCGCTGTCCGTCCGTCTGTCACAAAGCTCTATCTTATGAACCGTTATAGCTAGACAGTTGAAATTTTTACAGATAATGTATCTATGTTGCCGCTATAAGAACAAATACTAAAAACAGAATTAAATAAATGTTTATAAATAGAAAAGTACTTTCACTAAACATTATCTTTTAAGTAAGAATTTTACATAGAATCTTTCAAGTCCTCGGTGGCCGCGTGGTTTAAAGCGTTAGGATTTTACGCTGCTATGACGTTGGAGCCGTAAGAAGGCAGGTTCGAATCCTAGTCAAGGCCTTTTTTAATCGTTCTTTTTTAATTTTTACATATTTTTACATATTTATTTTTACTTTTTACATATTTATTATTGATTAATACAAATTTTAGTAATGTGTTTCTTCATTTTTTTTAAATTACTTATACGCGCAATCAAAATTTAAGCTAAATCGGAAAAAAAGTTTATAATAATATAGTGTCTAATGTTGTTGTATAGATAATGAATGGTACGGAACCCTTCGTGCGCGAGTCCGACTCGCACTTGACCAATTTTTTTGTTGATATCTTCACTTTCAATAATTAATTGTTACATATCATATTTATCACACACCTTTATTCATCTCTTTAAGCGTTAATTATTTCAAAAGGTACAGAGAAACAATTCTATGCATCACGATAATTTTTTAAAACCATAGTTACAAAACTGATTAATACTTATTAGCTATATTATAACAATAGTTTACACAATATTTTGCAGACACTGTTGGTCAACACAAAATCAAGCGAATATAACCAGCTGATAGTGAATAAGTTGTTCTCAGAACCTGAGTTGTTAGATAGAATGTAAAATTAGTGGAAAGGGGTTAATCACCTTGACCTTAAAGATCTATTGTACCCCCTCTCTTAAGTTATAACTCATCATATATATTAATCGGTTTAAAACGTTCTACGTCTTCCGATGCCATCTCCCATGCCTGTCTGTCTCTCCATGCACCGTCTCCGAGAGATCTTTCCTCCATAAACGTGTCAATCCTTTCCTGCCAACTTCTTCTCGGTCTACCCGGTTTTCTTCTTCCTGCAGGTTTCCAGTTTATAATTTGCTTTGGGATTCTTATTTCTGCCATTCTTTCGACATGCCCGTACCATATGAGTTGACTGTTCTTTATCTCGTCCACTATCGTATGTTTAACTTCCATAATCTCTCTTATGCGTTCATTAGTTATTCGCTCGAGTCTTGATTTGCCTGCTGATCTTCTCCAAAAATCCATCTCTGTAGCTTCCAGTATTCGTTTTGTTGTTTCCTTAATTGGCCACACTTCACAGCTGTACGTGGTTATACTCTTGATGATGGTATTATATATTAGAGTTTTGTTCTTGTTGTTTATGCTTCTGTCCCACAGTATCCCATTCAATACCGTGATAGCATTCCTTCCAAGTTGGTTTCGTTCTTTAATTGCTGTATCCAACAGTCCATCATTTGTGATTTGCATACCCAAATATTTGTATTTTGTACAGCACTTAATTTTCTTCCCTTCTTCTAGTATTAGATCTTGTTGTTCTCCTCCGATACACATATATTCTGTTTTGTTAGTATTGATCTCGAGTCCCCATTTCTGATATTCTTCTATAAGCTTACGTGTCATATAATTTATGTCATCGTAATCTTGTGCTATGATCACCTGATCGTCCGCAAAGCAAAGTGTGTAGAGCATGTTATCCCCTATGAGTACTCCCATATTTCTATATTTTTGCTTCCAACCTTTGAGAACTTGTTCGTGATATATCTTGAGCAGTGTTGGTGAAATACAGCACCCTTGTTTCAGACCTTTGGTTCCATTAAATCCTGTTGTTAACTTTTTGCTCATCATACAGTCTATAACTCATCATACATGGGATCTTGTTGTTGTAGACGGGACAGGGTATTCCCCCATCCTCCTCTTTCAACAGCTCTTCATCCTCCGAGGAGTGGGCGTCTACCTCCTACGAGGGTATAGACGGCTGGGGTTTGACCCTCCGTGCCTTTCACAGTCGAGGAGCTTGTCTCCGGCTGAGGTACCCTTGAGGTGGATGCTGGAGGATCAATCTCCATTTTCTCCACCTCTTTAACTTGGTCTCTCCTTGGACCTGATACCGGTTTTGTCCCGGATCTATAATAGAGCCTTTCTGCCTCCTTAGATTTGAGGTCAATTCCTATTAAACAACGCTTTGTTGTAAAAAAAGCCAAAATAGCTTCATCGACAAAGCATTTACAAAACAAAAAAGCACAAAAACAAATATACAAATAATAAAAAATGTCATACAATACAAATCAATTCAAAAAAATTTACGTCATTAAAATTACAAACAACACATACATGGACATTGTAGAACACAAGCGTATTAAGAAAATTTTACAAAAGGAAAATTGTAAATGGATAAAATCATGTTATATATCATAAAATCAAGAGTTATAAAATATTAAATACTAGACCTTTAACCAGTGTGTGAGATGATCAAAATTTTAAAATTCAAAATTGTTCATGAATAAACATCAACAAAAAAGTCGTTTACCGCATATAGAGTAGTAAGTAAGATTTTAGAGTTTTTCGAAATGCGGGAAAGAATGAAAGTGACTTGATATTCAAAGGCAAATGATTGTACATTTTCTTGGCATTGTACAGTATTGAGCCCTTAACTAGTTCTGAGCTGGGGGTTGGCAGATAAATATCGAGCTCCGCATTCCTAAGTGGATAGTAGTGAGAAGGCCTTTCAGGAATAGCAGATATGTGCTTGCGGATTAAGTAAACGGATTCACAAAAATGAATAAGGAAGGAAATGTCAATATTTTGAAATTTTTATAGAAATTCTGGCAGTAAGTTCTACTGTTCAGTCCCAATAAGTATCGAACTGCTCTCTTTTGAAGTTTGAAAATACGATCAAATTTTGTCGCGCAGCAAGTACCCCAAAATGGAAAAGCATAACGACGATGCAACTCAAAAAGGGCATAATAGACCATTCCAGAGG